CATCTCCAGGTCCAACGTGGGCTTCCCATGGAGTAACGGTCTTCGGACGCAGCCACCCGCTCCGATGTGGGGTCCTCCATGGCCACAGGCCTTCACGTGCTGCCCCACTGGTCATCTCCAGGTCCAACGTGGGCTTCCCATGGCGTCATGGGCTTCGGACGCAGCCACCCGCTCCAGTGTGGGGTCCTCCATGGCCACAGGTCTTCATGTGCTGCCCCACCGGTCATCTCCAGATCCAAAGTGGGCTTCCCATGGAGTCACAGTCTTTGGGTGCAGCCACCTGCTCCGGTGTGGGGTCCTCCATGGCCACAGGTCTTCACGTGCTGTCCCACCGGTCATCTCCAGATCCAAAGTGGGCTTCCCATGGCGTCATGGTCTTCGGGTGCAGTCAACTGCTCCAGTGTGGGGTCTTCCATGGCCACAGGTCTTTACAGGCTGCCCCACCAGTCAAGTTCAGGTCCAACGTGGGTTTCCCATGCAGTTATGGTCTTCTTTGGATGCAGCCACCCGCTCCAGTGTGGAGTCCTCCATGGCCACAGGTCTTCACAAGCTGCCCCACCGGTCATCTCCACGAGCTGCAGGGCAACTTCAGCTCCAGCGTAGGGTCCTCCTCCATCTCCGCGCCCCTGGTGGCCACCCAGCCGTTTCTCTCCCACTTCCTCTCTCTGCTCAAGGTTCCCCAGTTGTTTTTCTTCCTTCTAAAAAATACGACATTCATGGAGACGCCAATTGGGTTCAATCCGGAGCTGGAGAAGCTTCGAGGAGCTTCTCACAGGAGCCACCTCTCTTGATACCAAAACCCACCACCACCAGCTACTAAGAAGAACATTAACCCTCTCCCAACCAAAAACTCCTGATGGGAACGTTCCCAGCTCGCGGCCGAAGGCTTCGGCAACTCTTGCTGAGTCAATGGATTCCATTGGAGCTACAACCATCCCCCAGACCCTCCAAGATCACCAAGTTCATGGGATGAGACCAAAGAGGTGGACATCCCTACGTAGGGAGGCCACGACCTTCTAATTTGGTGGCACCTCAACCCCTGGAGAACCTCCCTGGCCCACCGGTGTGTCCTCCAGGTGGGTCTTCTGATCGAGAAGACACTCGGCACCGACGCTGAAGGTCTTCCCACAGACCGGACACGCGTGGGAGGGCTCCAGCACATGGGTCCGGCGGGGGGCAGGGGGGAGGGCTTTGG